GGGGGGGGATTGTGGCCTGCCCCTCGTCCCTGACTCCAGGCCCCAAGGAGCCAGCCCCCTCCCCACAGCTGGACTCCAGGGTGTGGGCTCTGGGCTCCGCCTCCTCTCCTTGGGGGCTTTATGTCTTTCTCTCCCCCACCTGCAGGTCCCGAAGGCTGTAACCTGTTTATCTACCACCTCCCCCAGGAGTTTGGAGACACGGAGCTGACCCAGATGTTCCTGCCCTTCGGCAATATCATCTCCTCCAAGGTGTTTATGGATCGGGCCACCAACCAGAGCAAGTGTTTCGGTAAGTAGCTGCCCTGGAGCCGGGCAGGCCTGGGCCAAAGGGAACACATTCACGATCAGAGGGTGCACTCATTAGGCACCACTGTGTGCCAGGCACTTTCATGATATCCTTTCAAAGGCCCACTCAGTCAACCCAGACCTATTGTGTGCATGTACTATGTGCACCTACCATGTGCCGGGACTGTGCTGGGCACTGACATGCAGCATCAGGAGGTCAGCAGAAGTCCCTCCCCAGGGGGTCTCCCAGCTCCTACCCACCTGTGGCACAAGCATCCCAGGGGACGTGGCAGGAGCTGCCCTAGAAGAGAGGCATCGTCTCAGTTTATGGAGGGGGGAAAGAGAATCTCAGAATGGGCCAGGAACAGGACTGAGGTCACACAGGAAGGAAGGGACCCACCAGTGCCCAAACCGGCCCCCACTCCAACCTCCAGGGAGAGATGCTGGAGGCACGCACACGTTGGCTGGCTGGCACCTCCTCAGGGTCACTGTCCCCTGACTAGACAGTGGGTGGGCAGGCGTGGCCAGAACAGGGAGACCTCAGACCTGCCCCAGCTCCAGAGCCACTCCTAGCTCTGCCCGGGCCCTGGCAGGCGGGCAGGACCCACACCACCTGGCCTGTGAGGGCCAGGAGGAGGGCGGGAGGCAGGGGTGGCCTGGAGGTGCCCGGCGGAGGGAGCTGGGCTGGTGGACACCTAAGGAGAGTGCTGGAGTGGTTCTGGTGGCCTCGGCCAGGGGCAAAGGACTGACAGACAGGACGGGGAGGGGAGGGGAGGGGAGGGAGAATCTGGGACACAGCCCACCCCCCGGGAAAGGTCCTGGGCACAGAGGTCTCACAGGAGCAGGGTGGCTTCCAGGGCTGAGAGGGAGGCAGATGCTCCAGGGAGCAGGAAGAACGTGGCCCTTCGGCCCCCTGTGTCCCTTGCCAGATGGGAAGTTCCAGCAGATTGGACCCCAGGTCAGGAGTGAGCTCCCCGTCCACAGAGGACCGCGAGTCCAGAGACTTCAGCACCAAGCCGGGGTTGCCGCCGTGTGTCCCCTGGCAGGCCTGCCTGCCCGTGCGAGCACACGCCGCCCCCAGGACTCCTCCGGGGCAGAGGCCGTGGTGCCCAGGTCACAGCCCGCCCCATCTCCACAGGCTTCGTGAGCTTTGACAACCCGGCCAGCGCACAGACCGCCATCCAGGCCATGAACGGCTTCCAGATCGGCACGAAGAGGCTCAAGGTGCAGCTGAAGCGGCCCAAAGACCCCGGACACCCCTACTGACCCTGCCCTCGGCCGCCCCAGGCTGTGGGCCTGGCCCAGGTGAGCCGCCAGGCGGCCCCACGCCCCGCCCCGTCTTGTCCACACCCTCCTCCCCTCGCTTATTCTCCAAACCCTCCCCCTGGGGATGCTGCAGGAGGCTACGGGAAGCCCCCAGGGCGGGTTGGCAGGGACAGAGCTGGACGGAGATGCCCCAGTGACCTGTGGTCAGGGTGGACCAGAGGGCGGGGCGGGACGGGGAGGTGGGGAGAGAGCAGGGCCCCAGGACGGCCAGGAAGGCTTCCTGGAGGAGGCCTTGAAGGATGAGGACAAGGTCACACGGAAGCAGGTTTGGTCTGGTGAGGGGTGGGGAGGGGCTTTGTCCTGTCCTGTGCGTCCCTTCTCCCTGCTGGAGAGCTCTAAACCCCAGGAAAAAGGGTCCAGTGCGAACCCCAGACCCTGGTCCCTGAGGTGGGGGCTTCACAATATCCAGCTCCGCTGGGGACCAGGGCTGGAGCACAGGACGCAGGGACAGTGCCCGGAGGCCCCTGTCCCCTCCCCACCAGCTCCGACCGGGCCCAGCTCCTCTAGTATCACACGCGCCCAGTCGAGAAGGCGGACGGGGTATACCGCCAGCATCGTGCAGAAAACCCCGACAAACCCCCAAAGCGAGTTTTGCATAGAACAGACAAACTCATCCTCTCGGGGACGGGAGAGTAAGCCCAGGGTCAGCACAGTGGGCTCCCCGGGCAGGACCCAGCCAGGGGCCTGCTGGGTCTTTCTGAAGCCAAGCCCAGAACCCGCCACCTAAAAAGCTCTGGATAATTTGTTTTGACTCTTGTTTTTGATCACCCTCGCCGCCGTCATCATGAAGAACCTCACTGGGTCTGGTACAAAGTAGGAGCTCAGCTAGAGCCTGTCAGTGTGTTTTAGAATCTGTGGGGCGCAGCCCAGAGTGGGGGGACCCCGCCTGCACAGTCACGCACTGCGGGAAAGTGCCTTTGGGGACCGCCAACCGGAAGCCACAACAAAGGCCACACTGCCGTCCACTCACTTTCCGCTCTCAGCTGGCAACCCTCACTGAGCACCTACTATGTGCCAGGCACTGTCACCAGCGTCTGGGGACTCAGCCACCAATGAACGAGAACACGGGGGGCAGAGACGGGAAGAAGCTGGCTTCTGGGCTATAAATGGCTTGGAGTGGGGAAGGGGTCAAGAAGGACTGCCCCCGTCCCATCGGTCCCCAGAACCAGGGCCTGTGCGCTCTGGACAGTATGGGCCCCGGGTGCCCGGCCCCTTCCTGGCGTCCTCTGCTGTGCCCCAGGACTGCTCCTGGATGCCCTCCCCCCAGCTGAGGGGCCTCCGCCCCCCGAGGCTCCCCTCCCAGCCGACCCAGGCCCTCCTGCACCTGTGTTGGGTCACAGCCCTCCCTCCCCTCTGCCCCGACCCCGTCCCCAAAATGTGAAACCCTTGTGAAGGCCACAGTGAGGGGCCTTCTGCTCTGTCCTGGGTGGGGGTCTCCTGGGCTGGGAGCCAAGGGCTCACCGCTGCCCCCGACTTCAGGACCTTCCCCGCCCACGGGACCCCCTTGGTGGCTTCTCAGGAGGAAGTCCCCGCTTTCCCTGTATCTATATGTATATGCGTATATACAGAGAGCTCTAGACAGTATATATATCTATTTTTGAGTATAGATCATGGGGCCAAACTTTTCGACTTCCTTCCATCCAAGAGGGTGACCCTGAGCCGGTCACTCCACAGGGACAGAGGAGGGGCCGAGGCTGGCTGGGCGGCCAGGTGCCCGTCCACCCACAGCTGGAACACCAGGCCAGGAACGCGCCAACAGAAATACCTCCGGGACTGTGGGCCCCACCACCCCGACCCCCACAGGCCCCCGGGCCCGGCCAGCTGGAGCGTCCTGCCCGGGCCGCTGCTCTCCAGAGCCCCCTTCCCCCTCCCAGGGGCCTGCCTTCCTGTGGCACCAAGAGACCCTCTGGCCTCCCTGCCCTCCCCGCGCCCACCCCTCAGTCATAGCCTTACTGTGTGACCAATAGCCCTTAGCTTTGCGCCGGGGCAGCCAGGGCTGGGGGAGGCCCCGTCCCTCACTGCCCCCCCCAGGGCAGGCCGCCATCATCCCTGCCTGTGAATCACCAGCCTCGAATTTAAGGTCTTGTAACCAAGATCGCCAAGCGTGTTGGACCAGCCCAACCTGGACTGCCCAAGCACCCCTTTATCAGAGACCGTGACCCTGATAGTGACCTTCATACCTCGACAGATTTTTTTTTTTCTTTTCCTTTTTCTTTCTTTTCTTTTTTTTTTTTCCTGTCTTTTTGAGCAGGTACAAAGAAGAGAAAAAAATGGGGGGAAATCCAGTGATAACAGATGTTTGTTTCTAGCGGGGGTCGGGGGTCTGGGGTCGCTCCTGTACCGCCTCCGGCCGCCACGCCCCGTCCAAGCACAGAGGCGAGTCCGTCTGGACGTCCAGCCGGGCCTCTTGCCACAGGAGGCTCCGGATGACTTAAGCTCAAAAACAAAAAGAATTTTTAAAAAAGAAAAGAGACACAGCATTCCCTTCTATTTCTACCAAAATGTGTGACTGACCTCGGGGGGTGGGGACCACAGCAAAAAGAAAAAGAAAAAAAAAAACAAAAAAAAACTCCTGCAAACTCGTCCGGTTTCCAGAGTTTGGTGATGTTGCGAGCCACTCCTGTGCGTGCCTGTGTCCTGTCCCCCACGTGTGCAGTGGGTGCCACGCAGCCTCGCGGGGCCCGGCACCCGCCCCGCGGGCCTGCCTGGGAGTGTGTGCGGTGCCCTGTGCTGTCCTCTAGTCCATGTTTACTGGCTGTAAATACCATTTTTATACTCCACGTCGAGACCTGCGTGATTTGTACGATGTACTTTATTTCTGCTACGAGTAAATTCATGAAGTTTCAACCTGCAGACTGACTTACACACACACACACTCTCACACTCACACGCGAGAGCAAAGGAGAGGGCTCGGAGGGAATTTGGGTTGACTTTGGTTTGGAGTTTGTGTCAAAGCCGATTTCCCGTGCCTGGAGAGGGTCCTTGTCACTGTTGAGGTGTTCAGGTGACAAGCGTCTTCATGTCCAAACGCCTCTCTTTGGTCTGAGAAAAACTAAAAATTTATTTAATAAAAGTTTTACTTGCTAAAGGTCCGCCTCTCGCCTTACTCTCCCTCCTGTGGGTGAAGAATTGTCGGGGAACTTTCTGGCTCTGCAGGACGGGTCCAGACCGGGAAGGGCTTCGTGTTCACCGGGTTCCGGTGGTGGGAACACCAGGGACAGTGACTGTGGAGGGGAGGGTCAGCGGACCAAGGTGGCCGGGTCATCAATAAACACCTGCTGTGTGCCAGATCCTGTCCCTGCCCCCTGAGAGAGACCAGAAAGCAGCCACCCCAATTCAAAAGGCCATTCCAGATCCTGCCGAGGGTGGGAATCTAAGTGTCGTGGGCAGCCGGGGCCTTGTCCTGGGGGTGAGGGGCCGTGGAAGGCCTTGGGGGACATGCTGAGAGTCTGGGGTAGCCGGGGAGCTGCCGGCGGAGCATCAGCTGGCCGCTGGAAAAGGTTTGGAGGACACTATCCTCCCAAGCACCAATTATGCACCTACTGTTTGCCAGGCATGGTTTCTGGCCTGCATGGTCCAACAGCAGCCAGTGGCCAGTGTGGATATTTAAATGCAGATGATGGCAGACCTTCTTCCTTGGTCCCCGGAGCCCCCTTTCAGGGGCTCAGTCACCCCCTGTCCTCATGGCAGAGAGCCCAACCGGCCACCCTGGGCCGAGGTGTAGGGGAGTAACTCATCTACCTGCCACGACCCCTGGAGGAATGTCCTGCTGACAACACTAGGACACGGGGGCCAGAGAGGGCGGGCCCTGCCTGAGACTGCGCAGCGGCCGCTGACCCCAGGCCCTCTGCCTGGTCCCAGCTGCTGGCCGGTGTAGACTGGCTTCCGAGCGCTCCTGTCCCAGTCCACTTTGGGCTTTGAAATCTAAGTCCCACCTTCCGTGTTGAGAGCGTGCGCCCTTGTTATGGTGGGGGGGCGTGGCCCCCGAGGCTCGTGGGTGAGGCCATGAAGAGGTTTTGAGGAGACCGGGCCCCAGCCCTCACCTGATCCCTGAGTCCATCCCTGGTGGAGTAACGGGGCGGTGGCCGGGGGCGGCTGGGGGCGGCTGTGGGTGTGGGTTTTGTATCTGGAGAGTGGAGGCTCGCCCTCTGCTCCCTGTCAGCCGCCTCCCCCGCCGCCCTCCCTGGACTGAGACCTCCGAAACCGCGAGCCTCAGCAAACCTTCCCTCCTCGAGTACCGTTCTGGGGCGTCCTTTAGGCCACCGGCGGGGGAAAGCCAATGAGCAGGACCCTCCCCACACAGCCTCTGAGTGGGTTCACAGCGTGAGCAGGGCTGCCACTGTCCCCACAGGATGCGGGGGAAGACCCGCCAGGCCCAGGTTCAGGACCCCAGGGGAGAGGGGAGCCGTGAAGAGCCCGCCTCACCCCAAGGGGCCAAGACCTCGCCCGAGAAAGCAGCCCCCACCAGCCACCGCGGGCTGGTGACATGTGTCCTTCTGGGGGACAGGCTACCTGGCACAACACAGGCCAGCTAGCTGTCACTGTGTCCCAGGTCACCCCTGCAAATCCAAGAGCTTAAGACAGCACACTTTCATTGTCTGACCCGCACACGTTTGTGGGTCAGGAGTCCCAGGAGGGCTCAGCCAAGTGACTTGGGGCCTCTCAGGTCAGCCAAGGTCTCCTCACCTGCAGGTGCCTGGGGCTGGGACAGCTGCTGCCCAGCTGCCTCCTCCACGCGGCTGTGGGCAGAGGGAGGCTCCACAGTGCTGCTTGGGCTTCCCCATCACATGGCAGCCTTCTCCCCCCACAGTGGGGGGCTCGAGGAGAGGGGATGCCACAGAAACTGAGGGGGGCAGGATGTTTCGCCTGGAGGGGATCAGAGGCCACCAGAGCCACACACCAGGGAGACCTCACCTGGGACAGGAACCTCTGTGAACCCTTGGCTCCTGGGGCACAGGCACTGCTTTGTGGAAGAAGAAAAACATCTGAGTGGTCACCAGGTGGCGGTCACACCTGGGGCAGCCGGGGACTTTAACCCTTGGTGTGTCCAGATCCCCTCAGTTTGCCCAGAAGGTCTGTGGAGCAGGGAATGGGAGGGAGGCGGGCAGCGGGCAAGGGCTGGTTCCACCCAGACCCAAGAGCCTCAGGGTGGCCTGGGAATGGCCAGGGCCACAATGGGACCTAGTTCACAGGTGGGGGCGACAAAATGGAGGGCTCAGGCTGCAGAGCTGTCCCGCTGGTCCTCAGGCAGGCCAGAGCGGCGCTAGAGGGCCTCCACCCTGGAGCCCAGCTGCCCCAGCCCGCCACATGCACCAAAGGCACAGCGCTCGCGTCCAGACCAGGCTGTTCCGGGTTCGAGTCCGATTTGACGCTTGGCAGCGGCTTGGACAAGCAGCGAAGTCGTCTGAGCTGTTTCCCTCTGGAAACCGGGTTAACACGAAGCCCTCCCGGGTCTGGACCCGTCCGGCAGAGCCAGGAAACTCCTTCAAAATTCACTCTCCGGACGCTTCGCCCGGACCACCAGCAGGGGGCAGCAGAGACCTACGCGGCGTCCAGAGCGGCCTCGGTGGGTGACTCCGCCTGGTTTCTGTCCCGGGTTCAAAAGGTACCTCGTCCGAACTTGTGTGCGCATCCCCCGAAGCCTGCAGCGCGGGCGCCGCGTGTCCACCCGTTGCGCCCGTCCTCTCCCTCCCCTGGCCAGGAGCCCTTGGCTTCCCCCCTGCGGCTCCCGGATGCTGGACCGGAACAGACCGAGTGGCCTTCCAGGCACAGGGACCACCTGGCCAACAGGTGGGCATTTCCTAGGCCCTGGCTCGCCTTTGGGCTGCACAGAGCCTGGAAGCCGGGCACGCGGGGCCGGAGTAAGAAACAGGGCGGGAGGCCCGGCCCCCAGATCTGCCGAGCGACCTGGCCTTTCTGCCCGTGGACCTTCCTGCCTGGTCCCCGTCTGTAGGACGGGGCTGGTGACAGTGCACGTCCAGAATTAGGGCAGATCACAGGGAACGCCGCGAAAAACAGCCCTAAATATTACAGGGCGAAAATAGGGCCTCCTCGAGTCAGAAGTGAATTCTGGGACATTACTCCTACTGACCTCAAGTGTCAGTACGCATTCATTAACCACCGACTGTGTGTGCTAGGGGCTCTGGTGGGTCCTGCAGGGAACAAACTGTACCAACCCCCTGACCACGCCCCCCGCGCCAGGCCTGCGCGCCCCGCCTCCAGCCCCCTCTCTGCCCCGCCCCGTGTGATCTACATATTCATGAGCCGTCAGCCAATCCACAGTCTGAACCCTTCAGAGCCCAGGTGACGGTGATGCCAGGAGTGACGCCTTAAAGGCGCAGTAACTTCTCAAACAGGAGGCTGGACAGGAGTCTCCGGATTCTCGGTGGCCTCAGCTTGCACAGCGCCAAGAGGCGGGTTGGGGTCCAGGCTCGGAAACCAGCGCAGAGCAATGACGCTTGAACAGTTTTGCCCTCCTGGGTGCGATCCAGGGGTGCGAGTCGAGCCTCGTGGCCCCGTCAGGCACTTTGTCCCAGCCTGGACTTCAGCACCGGGGGTCCCGGACAGCTCCGAGCCCTGGACAGAGGGACCCGTGCGGTGCGGGCCGGGTGGATGGGAGTGGAGGGAGCTTTCCAGTCTGGCTTCCTTTAGAAGCCAGTCCACAGGGGGGCAGGCCTGGTCTTTCTAGGCCCGATGGTCCCCCTTCATCACAGTGTCACAGGAGTTCAGCCGCCAGTCCGCGAACCCACCCGACTTCTCCGAGTAGGTGCTTCTCAGGCCATCAGTGCTCGCAGCCCTGGCCTCCACGTTGGGGCACGCGGCCCCCGGACCCCTCCTCCTCGGTCAGCTCCATCTCTTCACCCTCATTACGGGCGGTCCTGCCCAGCTCACCTGGACAGCCGGCTCCACTGTCCTGCTCTCCACCCGCAGCGGAACCCATCAGAGGCCTCAGGTGAGCACGACTGTGCGTCCATCCCCCATCGACCCGAGTTCCCCAGGGCAGGAGGGGGGTCTGTTTTGGGTCCTGTTATGTCCCTAGGGCTCAGTGCACAGACTGGCATACAGTAGGTGCTCAGTAAAAGTCTGACAAATAAATGAGTGGGTGAATGAAGGTCACTGCACACAGCGTTGGCTCTGGGACATCTGATGACCCACAAAGTCTGCAAAGGGCACATCGGTGGGGTCCCCTGTGCCGATGGGGAGACAAGACCCAAACGTGGGAGCAACTTGCCCCGCGGAACAAACCCAGCAGACGTCACAGAGCTGAGTCCCTACCAGAGGAGTCTCCAGGGCGGAGGCAGGGCTGCAGAGGGTGGGGGTGGAGGCCAAGGGTCAGAGGAGGCCTTCCACGCAGCAGGCAGGGCCAGAGCCGGGGTGAGGCCTGAGGCCGAGCCCTTGCCCGGGACGGTGCCATGCTGTGACGTGCGAGGGTCCCAACAGCTCGAGGTCCTCACCAGCGCTCGGCATGGCCGGGTCTTAAGTTTCACTTTAGCCATTCAGATGTCGCGCAGTGGACTCGCCTCCCTGCTGGGGACACACTGCCCCTCTCCTGGGAGTTCCGTCTGCTCCCTTGGCCCACCTGGTCGCCTTACCTGGCTCGCTCCTCCCTGGTGAGTCTCGAGTTGTCTGTGCTCGGGATCCGGGCTCTTCGTTAGCTGTGGAGCGAGCGGCTGTCTCCCTCCTCTTTCACAGGGTGGACTTCCTGATCCGCACAGAGCCTGCTCCACCACGTCCTTCTTTCACGGGCTGAGACTTTTCCCCTGTAACGTTTCGTGGTTTGTCTGTCTTTAGGTCTGCGAGGCGAGGTGGTGCGTGGCTGGCCAGGCCTGCGAGTTGAAGCCTCCCGTCCCCCTTGATTCACTGGCCACTGTAGGGGCTTCTGCTGACCGTGCCTGTGCCTGCCTGTTCCCGACTCGGTTCTGTCCCAGGAACTGGTGGGCCCATCCTTTGGTCCCTGCCACACTGTCTAGATTGAGAGCTGACGGAAGCCAGACAGGAAACCTACTGGGCAGGCCACAGCCGCTGGGCCACTCTCCCACTGGGCCCTGAAAGCTGCCGGTGTGGAGAGCAAGTGAACGGCCACGCTGCGTCCCAGTGACACTGTGCTCACAGAGACAGGCAGGGGCCATGTTTGCAGGCCCCCCACTGACCCTGCCCTGGCATGCACAGGGGCCAGGTTCTTGGTCTGCGTTACTGGTGGTCAGTGTGGAATAAGGGAGGGTGACTCTTCCCATTTTGTTCTTTTTTCCTGGTTCTGGGTGGAACCCAGGCCCAACACATGCTGAGCAAGTGCTCTACCGCGGAGCTGAGCCTTTAATCAGAATTGCACTGAATTTATGGGTCAGTTTGGGGAGAAGTTGACAGCTCAGCAGTGTTGATTCCCTCAACCTTGAACCCTGCATCAGCCAGCTTTCTGTTACTGTAACAAGTACCTGAAAAAAAGCAGCTAATAAAGAGAAAAGGTTTATTTTCATTGTGGTCTTGGATATTTCCATCCCGTGGTCAGCCGGCCTGTGGCTTTGGCCTGTGGGGAGGCCGTGCATCCTGGAGGAGCACTCGGGGAGCAGACCAGGACCCAAAAGAGAGGAAGAGACAGGGTCCCCGATCCCCTAAGGGCCTTGCCTCCTGGAGGCTCCATCCCTCCCCAAACCGCCACCTGGGGCCAGTTCACAGGCCTTTGGGGACACTCAAGATCCAAACCCTGGCGCCTGCTGGTCTCGACTCCCTCAGTTCCGTTCCTCAGCCGTTTTCCCGCCTCCCAGGTGTGGGCTCGGGTGGACGCCGCCCGCTCAGCACAGGACCCCCTCCTTGGCCTCCAGACGCGCAGCCTCGACTGCAGCTGTGCCTCTGTCCCCCGCACCCCCTGCTTGTTTTGGGGTTTTTAACCCCTCTTCTGCCTTCAAGAACGTCCATCCGGCTGCGGGTGCAGCTGGGTGCTGGGGCCCTGCCCGTTCCCCGCACCCCAAGAGTCATCACGAGTTGCTGCTTCGTGACCGGCACAGGGCACGGCCCTCCCAGCTCCCGGCGCGGGTCAGCCCGGCTCTTGGGCTCCTCGCTCAACACCCCTCCAGGTCACTGTCCCTTCACAGGGAAAGAGGCGGCGGCGGGGGGCTCTGCGCGGTGGGGGCTGAGCAGGCTCCCGCACCTGGCTCTCGGCGGCCGGGTAGACCTTCTCCTGAAGCCCATTTGAGTCCTTTTAACAAATGGCTGGGCTGGAAGGAAAGCGTCCATGATCCGTGGACGCAGATGGACGAGGTGGCGCGGTGGGGACAGCCCAGAGAGGTTGCTGGGGAAACGGAGGCTCGCGAGGACCTGGCCCCTCCGCTCTGGGTATTGGGGGACAGGAAGTGGGGTGGCGTGGGAGCCCCCACCAGCGCCCTGGCCCCGCTGTGGGCAGGTTCGGTCACCGGGCGAGGCCTCGTGGGCCCCTTCCCTGGCGTGGAGAAGTGGCCGAGCTGCCCTCTCCCCCGCGGCCTCCCGCCGCCCGGCTCCAGGGCCACCTCCAGTCCTGCTCCCCCCAAGGCCCGGCCCTGACCCGCCGTCTGAAGGCCTCCCCAGCCGCACATCTGTGGGCAATTGCCTCCTGCGACCACAAGGTACCAGGCAAATTATAGCTACGGGCAGGGCCTCCACGTGGGCGAGCGGAGGCCGCCGGGGCGTGGCCAGCCGAGGCCCCGCCCCGCCCCGCCCCCGCGCTGACCAGGCCCGTCTCCGTGGAGAAGGTTTGCAAAACCTCGGCGGCTGCTTCCCTCCTCCTCCCCCCTCAGAGGGTCGCCCCAGGTGCCGGGGGCCGCAGCGACGGACAGAAACCCCCGGCCCACAGCCCGTCCTCCAGGGGAAACCCAGGGGCCTGCTGAGGAGGTGGACACCAGCTCCCCTAGAGCCCGCGCAGCCCTGGGCAGGTCACCTCCCCTCTCTGAGCCTCAGTTCCCTTCTCTGAAATGGGGACAAGGACAGCCCTGACCTCCTCGATCATGGCCGACGTCATGAGGCTAACTCCCAGCCCCGAGCGAGCTCAGAGGGTGGACCCCAGCCGCACGGTGGGCCGCGCCCGGCCCTGGGCTGCTCGTCCTGGCTGTGCCGGGGACGGTGGCCGTGCTGGCTCCGGCGGCTCTGGTCAGGGCTGGCACGCAGTAGGTGCTGCTCTGGCCCGCCCTTCCTCAATGGCCGCTGTGTCCACTGCTGCACCGCACAGCCCTGGGCGTTGCCCCTCGCAGTCCCTGACTCTGGGGGAGGACCCTCAGCCCCCAGTGCCCAGGCTGGGGCAGGGGCTTCCCGGGCTGTCCAGTAGGGCTCAGGGAGAGATCTGGGTGGTGGGCAGTGCCGCTGCGGGTCTCACCTCCTGTCTCTGGGCTTTCCCAGCGGCTGCCCCTCTGTCCCTCGTCTCTGTCCCTCGTCCCTGTCCCTCGTCCCTGCCCCTGATCTGCATCTGTTTCCCCTGGTTCTGTCCACCTCTCTGGGGAGCATGAGGACTGGGTTTTGAAGGGTGTGTAGGAGCTGATGCCAGGACCAGGGCGTCCAGGGCAGGCGGAGGGCTTCCACCAAGGCCTCGAGTCCCAGGGGTGCCCACTGCCACCAGGAAGCCGGGAGCTGGGGAGCCAGCCGCCGGGGGGACCATGAGGGGTGGAGGGAGGAGGCAGGGACAGCGCTGCAGCCTGGAGGCCTCCTGAAGGGCCCAGGGCTGAGCGGAGGGACGAGGCCAGAGTCCCCTGTCCTCAGTGTGCCACCCGCTTTGCCTGCAAATTCCTGGGATGCACCCCGGTCCCCATTGGTGCCCTGTACTTGCCACCCCACACATCTGGTTCTGTCCGTCCACCCCTAAGAAGCCCCAGCACCACATGGACAGGCAGAGGCCAAGGAGGTCCAGCCTGATGCCTTCCCAGCCGCTTCGCAGCCAAGGGGCACTTCCTCCCCAGGGAAGTCCTGCCTGCTGTCTTCCTTTAGTCCTGCCTGCTGTCAGTGTAGGGCCAGGACATCCAGCCCACGCAGATCAGTGACGGGCCCTTTGTCCAGTTTGGACACAGGCTCGGTGTCCACAAATGCACCACAATGACTAAATAATGAACTCAAAGGCCCCTGCCGGTCTCAGAAGTCGGAGAAGAAAACCAGATGAGGGGGGCTCCTCCGTGGGGCCTGCGTCTCTGCCCACCCTTCCCGGGGCTGCTCCTGTGGGGGGGCGGGAGCCCCAAGGAGCCCGGGCACTGACCCAGGCTGGGTCCCTGGGAGGGCTCTGCCCCCGAAACCCGGCCCCCACGGTCTTCCTGCGGGGCAGCGCCTGGGGTGCCCTCTCCAGACTCCCCGCGGTCCCCCATGAACCTGGGGTCCTGCCCTGGCCCAGGAGGCCGCCTGCCCGCTCCCTCCGCCCACCCGGCCCTGTGGTCCTTGGCGGCAGCCGGCCGCGGGGGGGAGCGCTGGCTGCTTCCGGGGGTGGGGGGTCTCCAATCAGCGCCGCGCCTCGTCCACCAGCCCACACTGGGGCCGCCGTGCCAGCTGCGCCCGGGCACGCGCGCCCGCCCTGCTCTGGGCTCCCGGGGCTGTGGGTGGCCACTTGGTGAGACGGGCCTGGGGCCAGCGCCCGCCCTGCCGCTGCCCCCCTGGCCCGGCTCCTCCTCCAGCCTCCTGAGGGGCACATGGAGGCCGGGTGCCCGTCCCTGGGTGCCCGGCGGCCCGCGCAGCCCGCAGCTCTGTCTGAATAAGGGGACGGGGCCGCACGCCGCCCGCCCAGGATGGAGGTGCCGGGGCCCCTGGGGTCCAGCCGGCCGGGGGACAGCGCGGTCAAGTGGCAGCTGTGCTACGACATGACGGCCAAGATGTGGTGGATGGTGAGTGGCGGCGGCGGCTCGGACCCCGGGTCTCCCGCCCGGGCAGGGGCTCTGGGGGAGACGGGGCTGGGCAGAGTGGCCAGGAGGGGACAGCAGGCAGAGGGAGGCGGTGTCGGCCCCTCAGCCCTGGAAGTGTGTCCCAGCTGCCCTGGCACCTGGGCCCCCCACCCCCCGCTGGTGTCACCGCGGGCGCCCGGGCAGCCTCCTGCCCACCTGGCCCACCTGCGGGGACTTGGGGGAGACCCCCGCTGTCCTGGGGTGGAGTCCTGTGGCAGCGAGGCCCAGGGAGCCCGGCAGCACCCAGGCTGAGGGCAGGAGGCGAGGGCCAGGGCGCTGTGTGACCCTGGCCAAGACGCGCCCATCTCTGTGTCCTGTGTCCAGAGAGCGGGTGGGGGACGCCTCTCCGTCCGGCCTGGATGGTGGGCAAGGACCAGGGGAAGGCGGCGGGCAGCGGGTGCCTGGTCACTCAGGGAGGGCCAGGCACACCCCACGTTTGGCTCCTTCTGGAAGCTTCCGGGGGCAAGGCCACAGGCTCTGAGCGGGCACCCAGGCGGATGGAGCAGAAGCAATTCCGGGGCGACCCCAGGAGCAAGATGGGACAGGGCCTGGCTGGACGTCCGTGTCTGGGGCCCTGGAAGCCCATGCCGCCTCTGTCCCTGTGTCCATCACTTCATCCAGCGGCGGGGCGCGGGGGGGCGCGGCGGCCATCTGCAGTCTCACACGCGGGCTGGACCCGGCACCCCAGGGCCGCCAGCTCGCTGTGTGCCCTTGGGGCAGCGCCACCCTCTCTGGCCTGCAGGTCCCTCTCCGGGAGGTGCATGGGGCCTGGACAGCTGCGGCCTCCTGGCCCGGGCGCGGGGGGTTCTGGGGAGAGTCGGGCCTCAGAGGGACACGTGGCTCCGCCTGACCTCAGGGACCCCTGGTGGCCGCCGTGTCTCCGAGGGTGACCGGGCCTGTGCCCACGTGTCCAGGGTCTGAGCACAGAGACCCCCGGCCCCAGGAGCGCCACGCCCTGGTTCCGTTTTCTGTTCCTCATGGGTCAACACGGACTGAGTACCGCGTCCCGGGCCCCATTGTCACCAGGACACAGCAGTGACCAAGAGAGATGAGGCCCCGAGCACTGTGCTCTGGGGAGACGGGAAGAGGGTGTTGGTGACGGGGAAGGGCTGGGGTTCTGGGTGATGTGGGACGGCTTCCCTGAGGAGAGGACATCACACTCCAGGCAGAGGGCACGCTGTGCAAAGGCCCTGGGGCAGGACGCGCCTGGCCTGTTGGGGGCACAGCGAGGAGGAGCCTGGGCTGGGACGGGGGCGGGAGGGGGGACAGGGCAGGTCGTGCGGGGCCCTGAGGCTGCAGGGAGGACTTGGCACTGACCCCGAGGGCGCAGGAGCCACGGGCCTTGCTCGTTCTGCAGTCCCTGGGGCTCCTGGGGAGAAGGGGTGGGGGGCTGACGTGGCAGCGGAGCCCGGGCACCGTGGGGTCTGGGGGAAGCCAGCGGTTCCACATGAAGAAGGGCAGGTGGCAGGACTGCTCCAGGTCACACGGCTAGTGAAGGCCGCGTTGGCAGTGGGAGAGAGGACCCGGAGGGCCGAGGAGAGCCGCCTCCCTATTCAGCTCCAAGGTTGTATCAATTGAGGTGGGAGCCCCAGTA